CTTTGCTGTTCAACTTTTAGCCTCTCAACATCCAGCTCAGCAGCTGCAGAAGAACCTTGTTTCTGTGGAGGGTGAAGCAGAAAAGTAAAGAACTTGAGCGTGAGTTTCACCTCCACAGTTCACTAACAAAACTATACGGCAATATGAATAGCAATTTTATCAACACCAGAACAAGATGAAAAATACAAATGTAGGAAAGTAACATTATCTTTGGTAAGGATGAAAAAAATACTAGTTTTTTTATAATTCAATGAGCATCAAGGTGATTGCAGATCTTAGAAAAAATTGAGTTACACATGCAAAGCAAACGTAAATTGGAAATTCCAGGAGTAGGACTATGTCAATAAGATTTATCATGAACAGGAATTAGTTACAAAATCAACAGCAATCCAGTATTTGGAGCATTAACCATTGAAAATAGAGATTTCGTCGTCTATGGAGCTCTTCTAGTGCCCTCCAATTTACATATTGCTTACTAATTATTCTTATCTTAGAATTTCAGATATGGTTTCTCAAGGGCTCTTCACATTGACACCTCTAGACTGCCAATTACATGCTGGTAAGCACCCAAGAACCCCTAGTGTACAGTAGAAACTTATTAAAACACTCATTTTAGAGCATGTTTGATGTCTCCCATATATCTGACATGCATATTCAAGCATCGATTCTTGTCACTATCCACAAAAGAAGGGTTATCTTAATCAAGGGGAAACCACTTTCAAAATTAAAATACTTCCCTACTATGATGCCAATTCCAATAAACATCCTTGAAGAAGATTGAGATAGACTCTTGAACAGTTGTCAGGAAAAGGAAATCAGCAGTGAAAAGAAATTTTCAGTGTATTGTATGAGGATAGAAGTGTGTTCTCTCTCGCTTTAAGGAAATTAAGGCCCTGTTTGAGAGGAATTAAATTTTCTACAGTAAATCAATTCTTATTTTCAATCACACATTCTTCAATAAAATAATATTTTCCATCACATCAATACTTTTTTCTTCTTTTTCAATCACACATTTCCCATCATATCACTATTCAAAAATCAATTCTTTCTCCAAAAANTCAATAAAATAATATTTTCCATCAAATCAATAATTTTTTCTTCTTTTTCAACCACACATTTCCCATCATATCACTATTCAAAATCAATTCTTCCCCCAAAAATCTCTCCCAAACAAGCTCTAAATAAAAGTTATCTCGCCAAACTCATTGTTTCATCTTCACCTGTTGCAAGTTAAATGCATATAAAGGATACAAAATTGTGTTTAATATAATTAAAATATTTGAGATTGCAGGCACTTAAAGAACCTGTGTGGCTATCTGCTCATATACTTTCAATCATTTTCAATTGTGGCCGTCTGATCTCATGTTTGAACATCATAGGCCTAGGCTGACATCTAGTTGATAATATTCTCTAGCATGTTATATGACAACTAAAACCTGTATTGGCTTACTAGAAAAATCCTTTGTTTTTAATCTATTCGGTCACTTTCTGCCTACTTACATGGATTAAGTTAACCGAACTCTAGGATTATCATTTAGAAACAGATTGAGTTGTCCCACTACTTGGTTTTGCAAACTCTGCAGAAGGAAAAGAAGACAGGAATAACATCAAAAACAAAAATAATAAGAAGAACAGAGTTAACTTGCAAGAGCTGCAACTTTAGTCACTGCATCTTCCATTGAGAGTGCCGGTGCCTATCAGAGTTTCATCGGGCATCACCAGCGACGAATTTTATGACAGGCTTTTATCTGTTTCTTTTCACCTCAAGTCATAATGCTATTTCGTAGGGGATGTCCCCAATTTTAATAATGTACAAGAAATTTCAAGATGGTGTCATTTGATATCTGTATCAGAAATTTAGTATGAAAACCAGCTTCGGTAAAGCAATTAGCAATGAGGAGCAATGCCCATATACCATTGTCGATTTTCTCTTTCAAGCAGGCTTGGATGCAGGTGTTATGAATTAAGCATTACGATTATGAATCAAGCTGTCATAAGTCATAGGATGCAGCTATTGCTTACTTAGAGAGATATGAACTCAAACATACACAGAAGAATACACAATGGGACAAGGATTTCTGAGGACAAATTGATTAGACACTCATCTAGAAAAAATATGTACCTGCAGTTCTTTAATTAGCTTCTCCATCGTTTGGACGCTGATGTATGAATCATCTAAGAGTTTGTTTGAAGCACTCTGAGGACTGATGAATGCTTTAATATAGGCATTCTCATCTACTGAATTGGCATATTTTTGCAGTGGTGGCGGCAATGGCCAACCATATCCCCTTAATGAGGAAGCTTGGGTATTTGTAGATGTTCCGGGATTTAAATGCTGTGGCCGTCTAACAACAAGAACATTGCTGACAGGACCTGCAAAATGTGAACGAATATATAATTACTTAAAAAAATTCATTTCTCAATAAATAATGATGCAATAATTAAGATGATCAGATGCACTCACACTGATCAAATATTTTAGTGGAAATCAGCAGCAGATAACCGAAAAAGTGTGATGTACACAAACTAGATCACAGCACTGGTGCAAAAAGTTTTCTAATGAAAAAACAGCTACATAAAGCTCGGATAAATAAAAATAGGATCACCAACTCATCACGTGCACCCCACCTATTTGAACTCCACGTGGCTTCATCTAATTAACTGTCACATTAAAAGGTTACCGTCCTTCCTCTCTCCTTACATTATAATCCTAAGATTGACCTAATTCTGAGGAGTTATAATCAGGCCAATTGACTTCATTGCGCCTTTAGATAATGCTTGAAATTAATAAGGAGATACCTTAACCAGAATTGCGTTATAGAATGCAATTGTTGATAAACAATATTGACGGTAATGTAGCAGACTGCAAACCTATTCAACAGTAGAGATGCCAAGGTTGCATTTGTTCTAATCTTTTGTTGGATTTTATGTATTCTTTTATACAAGTTTATAGCAAAATGCATAAGGAAACTGCTAGAGGCATAAGAGTTGTCACTTAATGACAGTTGTCCGGGTTAAATACAGGAACCAATTTCAAAATTGTCATAAGATAAAACTCACCTGTCACTACGGTGGTTACCAGAGAGCAATTATAGAACTAGCACACCTAGTCAAACTTGGAAGCAGGACATTTTAAATCTTCTATTTAGCCATGTCAAGCAACCATATGTAGGCCTGACTGCAGAGGGTTTTATGAATTTCTCCTCAAGGATATGCATGGTAACACAGAAACTGAGATTCTAATGGATTTACTCACTTTTCACAACTCAATTATAACCTGTTTCGCAAGGAGGAAGAACACTGCTACATGGATAGTTGCGGCCCATATGCATGTTAATGAACCACTGACTTGGGCTTTCTATGAGTATTAGATGATCATGTGCATACAAACCATCAAGAGTAACATTTCCCTACTATCGGCAACAATAGACGACTTGAGATCATGCTCCAGTGTACAGAATGCAAAATTTACTACATTGCATTAAAAGTGAAGCCAAAAGGGATGTACAAATACAACTGCCCTCAGATTCAATCATCAAACACTGAAAAAAAATAATAATAAAAAATAAATAAAATAATATATATATATNATATATATATACAGAAATGATCTAATGAGCACCGGTGCTCATCTTATCCTAAGCACCGATGAGTTGGCACATTAATTCATTGGTGGATAAAGATTTTGTGAGTTCCAATCCACCAATGAATTAATGTGCCAACTCATTGGTGCTTAGGATAAGATGAGCACCGGTGCTCATTAGATCATTTCTGTGTATATATATATATAAACCACATTTATCAGCATAATTACATCTCTTTGACGATAAGCAAATCTTCTGACAAATCATAACATAAAAAGGTGTGAAAATTAAAAGACAAGCCAATAACAGTAAAATGAGCTGAATAATGAGGCAATTTGCATGACAGTGCAGTGAATGACCTAAAAGTATTAGCTGTAATTTATGTACCTTTGGCATGTCTAAAGACACGAGTAATGTTGCGTCTTTTAGTGTCCCAAACTCGAATCATGCCATCCTCAGAACCAGAGACCAATAGAGATCCATCAGCACTAGAAGCTAAGCAGGTAATAGCCTTACTGTTACACAGATAGGAAATTCATTCAGGCAAGAGCTAAAATGGAAACAAAAGGCAGAAAGGGCAAACATAAAACTCCTTCAAATAGACAAAAGTTAGAATTTAAAGATGTTATTTGTAAAATGCTTTTGCTTTTCAAATGATATGCTTTTATTAAAATTTTGAAAGGGCATTGGCTAAATGCACAAAAATATTGAGAGGCAAATGTATATTGAGTACAATCAAATAATTGATAATCAAATCATCAAGAATCTCTCTGAGCACTACCTTGTAAACAAAAAATGACCATATGGAGTTAAGCAGCCAAAATATCGAAATAAAAAATGTAGGAAACCATTTAAAGTAGGTATGAACACAAGAACAAAGAGTAAAACTACATATTTTCACTTTTCACATTGTTCAAAAGCTGAAGCATGAATATGTTAGAAATCTGGCAAACCTGTGCTCAGATAATGAACCAATGATATGTAACCCGTAACTGCTGTTGGAGGTTCCTGGAGCATTTAATGCAGCAATGTATATCTTACCATCTCTACCACCAGCATAAAAGACATGCTCCCAGGGGTCCAATGCAATTGCATCAATTATTGAGGGGAAGACAATGTTTCTTAAAAGTTCTCCTGTAGATAAACTCCATACCTAGGATAAGTCCATAAATTGTTAAAAGTGATAGCGTGAGAGCCTGAATTAAGCATCATAAGATGGTAAATCTATTCATTCAGAAGACCATACATGAAATAATCTCGTGCTCTAAGCAGATGATCATGTGCATACAAACATCTCTGGTACAAAGGGGTCAATTTATATTAAATAAAGATGAAAAATTGGCAATTTTGAAGAGTAGTAGTTTGCAAACAACAGAAAAGTGGAATTAGCAACATACATAGTTACATATACACTGATAGTCTTCAAAAGAACGAGTCCTTCATTAAAAATAGCTTAACAAATTTTTGAAAGTAAAATACTATAAATATGGTATCAACCAGCAGAATAAATAGTATGCCACACCTTGCAAGTACGATCCTCAGAAGCAGACACAATAATTGCATTACATCCACCGCACCCAATTTTAATGTCTGTCACTTTCAAAGTATGCTCGTGGAAACTATACTCATAGAGATTCTTTGCTTCCTCCCTATTTGCACCACCAAAGATCCTAAAATAACATAATAACTTCCACTAAGTATCCAGCAAATGAGTTATATGCCAGCCAAAAAAATAAGCTAGATTTATCACATACTTGAAAAGCGACCAAACTCGAACACATCCATCCTCTGAACCTGAAATCAAAAGGGACTGATCATCATTAAATACCATCTGAGTAACTCCCCTGTAATGGGCATGCCATTTTTTAAGCAAATTCCCAGTAGCAACCTACATATATTGAAACATATTCGCAGCAAAAGCATCAGTTATTACAATCACTACTACGATAGTAAGGAACCATCAATTGAAAAGTAATATATTCAATTTACCTCCCATAAGTATATACCGCCTGAAATACCTCCTCCCACAATATAAGTTCCTTCGCTATTCGAGAGAAGTGGCTTTACAGGTCCAGCAGGGAAGCTCTTGACTTCAACCTGAGGCTGTGAGTTCAAAGTAAGAAAAAATCAATTTTTGAATTAGTTTCAATCATTTCATTTCAAACTGAAAATCTTCTCTTCTAATAGTGAATTTCCGCCTTCTCCTGAAGCAATGCCAACCTGACCTTAAAGTACATAAAAAGTTGCTACTTAAAATGTTATTGGGTTCCCGTTAGTATGTTCATCAAAAATAAAAAATTTCTCCAAGAACCAGTCAAATCGAAGCAAAATAAAACAAGAAATTCAATTAGAGTTTGGGGAATAGTTAAGCAGACTTAGGGCGTCGCTAAAAGAGCTCTTGATGTCTACTCAAGTTCGCAAAATTCAACTAAAAAAACTATGTTATATTTTGACAAGTCCCAACTTCACTAAAATTCAAACAATGATAAGTACTTTAAGCAATATTTTTAATCCATACAGGATGCGTTTAAGTTGTCATAAAACGGTAACTCCCACTTAATTTTCTTTAATATCTTAACAACTTGGCTTCATTCATTCACATTCTTAACGTAATACTCTTTAATACATGAGGTTGGATGAGCTTACCTTGTTCCAGGACCAGTAGAGAATAGAGCCGGAAGAGGACTTTGGGTCCCGGATTTGGGAGGAGGCCAGGAAGCGGCCAGCGACAGAGGCAAGACCGTGAGGAGGGGAGGAGCACGTCTTGAAGCGCAGGTGCTCGGCGCCCGTGTGAAGATTCCAGCAGCTGATGCCGGCGTCCGTTGGCGATGAGGCTATCACCAATTCGGTTTTCATTGTACAAGAGGATTTTACGTTAACGGCCAGTGGGTTTATGCCGCAACTTGGAAACTAGGGGTTAAATGACAAGGAAAAATTCATAAATAAGATATATACTTTATACCAATTCCAAAATCATGTTTATAATTTGGAAATTTAAAAATTAGGTTTTTTTTAATTTTTATTTATAAAATAATAAATTATTAAATCGCTTTATTATTAAATATATAATATAATTAATCTATCCCACATGCATCACCCATACCGCTCCGGGGAACTATTCTGGCGACCATTCAGACCATCACTCTTCTCTGGCTACTATTCCGATAACCGTTCCGGCGACTGCTCCGATTTCGACAATTATTCCGATGACTATTTCGGTGACCATTCTGGTCACAGATTTACAATTTACGGTCACAGCTCAAAATTTTTGTA